GCCCATTATGGATTCGGCCAGGCCAATAGGGCTGCTGAGTGGGGGGCCCTGACATATCCAGACGGGACCACCCCTCGAAAAATTCCTGGGGTTTTTTCGACCTGTCCGGATTTGATCCCGGGTTCCCCAATGTGGTATGCTGTTACCTTGACCGCTCGGCCATCCGGCCGTCAAAATCAAGATCTGGTTAAAAACAAATACATGAAAGCATCCACAAGACGAGATTCATTCATTCATTCACATGGTGTCCTCTTTACAGAGGATTGCATTAGGCAGTTGATGAACAGTTCTTCACTCTTCACGGTTGTAGGCTTTTCCCAAGCTTGAACCAGTCCATTTTTTGATGTCCTGCCACGTTAGCCTAGGTCTCCTCTTTTCCGTCTGCCCTCCACCATTCATTGAACTGCAATTTTCATCAGTTCCCCTGAGGATCCTCTTATTATATGCCCAGCATATGCCATTTTTCTTCACTGGATGCTGCAGATATATAAAAGAAAAGAAAGAAAAAAAAAATGGCAAGAGTCACCAGTATTACTTAATGTAAAATTTTTAATGGATAAAAAGTTTTACACAAATTGTGTTGAAAAATTAAGGGGAAAATGTTTTTAGGTCAAAGGTTTTTAATAAAGGTTTATGCTAAATATTGTAAATTATATTAATTACAGTTATTGCTGTTTGACAACCGACAGACACATCAATGACATTTATAATAATCTTTACTTTTCTTAACGATTAACTAGTTCTCATATACTGTTATATTCCGGTTATTTTAGGGGATAATATACATCATTCGACTTCCGACATCTAAAATGCACTTCGGCACTTTTTGGCTATATCCTCTTCAGTTAGATTTCTTATCGGAGTTAAAAACAATACATCGAGACTCAATACAATACCCTCGCGATATCTCTAAAATCATACACTTGTTAATATATATAAACTATGGTTCACTATCAACAGTTACCCAATACAGTAGACCCCCCCTATAAAACGTGTTTATATAGTTCGGATTCCTATATGACGGCGAAAAAATTGCGACCGCATTCGTATAAACACGCTAAAAGAGACTCATATAATTCAGTAAAACGTCATCGCCGACTGATGTCGCGACAGGATTGGTCGAATCTAGACTAATAGCGGATATTGCACAAACCGTTGAGTTTAAACGAGCAGCGGACCTACTAAAAACCTTTTATTATTTAACGGTCATAAAAATTATATTTATATTAATGATGTCCCCAAAGTTCAGCAAAGTTTTCGCAGAAAAATAACTTATCAGGAAGCACGCGAGCTCCATTAGATGTACCGCTCCGTGACGAAAACAAGCTTAAGCAATGGGCGTCGTCGAACGGTGCACAATCGGTAAGTAATCCTACAATTTTTTGTTTATAGCGTAGTTTATATGGATTATTCCCGAAAAATTATACGTATTTTGGAAATGTTGAGTCGAATTAGTCTAGAATCGATTAATTTTATGGAAGAAATCTTTCAAACAGCCGTAGTCCGTAAACTGCATACGTGCGGGCTGTGATTGGCTCATGTATTTAAGGACTCGTAGAACATCAATTTCATAAAGAACGGAACGTATATACCATGTTATAGGGGGTCGACTGTATATTTATTTTGTTTGTATAAAATAAAAAAATAATAATTTCGGACGATACAATAGCCACGATTATTTTTTTCAAAAACGGGAAATTTTCGTTAGGCATCGACAAAAATTCATTCCGGGGCGACATGCAACGGAGAGAAATTTCGACGTTGCATAGCTTAATTTCACCCAGTGCTGCCGTTTCTAGGGTAATTACTAGTGTTGTAACGAATAGTATATTCGGCCAGGAGCGTAGCCAAATAGCCGAATATTCGGCCAAACTATTCGGCTCGATTAACGCACGTACGAAAATTGGCGCGCAAACCGCATTATGGCCAGGACCCCGCTCTCCAATGGCCCACTGTCACAACGCTTCGTCAATCGCGTTAATTCTTGACAGTTGTAGCGGACAGACAAGAGCGTCGTGGCAGTATGTGATAAATGATGATATCAAATGCGAATAACAATGAAATGACCTACACGTGTAAATTATGGAAAAAGAACAGAGAAAGACCGCAAAGTGAAAATGAATATGACATTGAGTTGATAGCATAATCGAACAAGTCGAAGCAGCTTATTGGCGCGAAATTTGCGGCCGTCAATGCCAAACAAGTGTTGTCATAGACTTCGGAAAGCTAAATTCTTGTCGAAAGTCACTTAGCGTGCACGGGCGAAAGCCTGGGACCGTTCGAGCTATCGAGCTGTCTCGAATCTGTGAAATCATAACTGTGACATATACCGTCATCCTATCTGTCTCTTTTCTCCTTTATCACCAGGCTATGAGTCACGTAATTGTAAAATTGGAAATCTACCACGGAAAAGTGACGAATCGAAAGTATCGTGAGCGCGTATTATGATGTATGCATAGGCATACGTGGACTAGAAAGATAGAGGAAAGAGAAAGGAAAGAGCAAAGACGAGTGCTTAAAACAGATAGACAGGGGATGTGTGTGACGATTCTCGAACGAATAGGTGTGTACGTGTGCTGATATTTGTAATTATAAATTGTAAATACGTGTGACTAATATTATTTTTTTTTNGATGTATGCATAGGCATACGTGGACTAGAAAGATAGAGGAAAGAGAAAGGAAAGAGCAAAGACGAGTGCTTAAAACAGATAGACAGGGGATGTGTGTGACGATTCTCGAACGAATAGGTGTGTACGTGTGCTGATATTTGTAATTATAAATTGTAAATACGTGTGACTAATATTATTTTTTTTATTTTGTGCATGTTATAAGTTATAAATAAATATAAACAAACAACACTAACCCGATAACATTAAATCAAAATATCAAAATGATTAATTTACTGTGTTTTTGCTATTTCTTATTCCTGTTTTTAGGTATTCGGTATTCGGCCGAATAGCGAAAGATAGGCCGAATACCGAATAGTAACCGAATATTCGTTACATCACTAGTAATTACCCTTTTTCAGGGTATTTCAACCTCTGGGGGTAATCAGTGGTGATATTCGAAATATTTAACAAAGGGTTCGCTAACAGAAACTTTTTCCTTAACAATTTTTTTTGTTTTTCGCTGAAATGGTGCATTAGCAACATTAGCGCAAAAACTGACCATAAGATACCCATATAAATAAAAAAGATGCGTTCGCAAAAATAAGTCAGTTAAAATTTAACATTTTTTATGCCAGAACTAATTTTTTTTATTGATAAATAATAATAAAGAGTGTTCAAAATGGTTTATTTTATACATATTTTATTACGACACGTGTTCCGCAGCCATCTTGTATTTTCTCGCGCGCGTGGGATTGTGGGATCTCTCTTTGCTGGGGTCGTATTCTGGTCACCGTCTCTGGTCTCTTGTCTCTCACAAGCAGGTCGCTTATTGGCTAATTATTTGGATTAGCCAATCATGGACCGTCTTGTGGGAGACGGAGACCAGAGACGGTGACCAGAATATTGCCCCTGTATCTAGTTTCAAGAACTCTCTTGAGTCGACCGCGATTGAACCTCGTTTCAGTCGAGATTGAAACGGTCGAGGGAGGTCGCATCAAGGCGNGGGAGAACAAGGTGGAATAGGAAGGTGTTGATACTGTCTATAGAAACTATGTAAATATGGAGACAGCAGATTAAATGTAGTGTACTATTGTAATATTCTTTCTTTATGTATTTATTTCAAATAAATGGCATCGTCAAGTTCTAGAACATTAAGATTGACCAAAAATGTTCAAAACAAAACTGATGTACAGAAACTGAGATTTGAAGTACGTACTGTATTATTAAAGAGGTTAATTGAAAGATGGGAAGACTTTCGTATTAAGATGTAAAATTTTCAATATTTACTTAATATTGAGTGATTATAATTTGTTTTATTAAGAACAAAATGAACAAGCTGGACAAAAGTATATGTAAAGCATTCAACACTATATTAATCTAGCAAAACTTATTTATTGCTCATGTTTTTGACCACTTAAATGATCTTTATCAGACTACAATCAACTTGAAACTACAAATTCTTAAAAAATGATATAATAATCCATTAAGTGATTTCTTATTGAGTTAAGTGATTTCAAAACGTGACTTTCAAGCACATGTTTCCTGCATGTGTGTGTATCTATGCCTGATGTAAAACATTAACAATAAACAAGATTTGTTAGATTAATATGGTTTTATAATGTGTTTTATTAAACATTTTCAGCAAATTTTTAAACACTTATTGTTATAGATAAAAAAATTAAATGCAATAAAACTTTTCTAACTCAAACTTTTGTAACTTGAAGAAAACGAAGCACTTGGTAGGTCTTAATGGAATAGCATAAGGATTTTTAACTCTAATTTTTTCCAAGTCAAAGTTTTTCATTGTCCCCTGACACTGATTTATATTGCTTTCAACTTTCTTGACTGGAAAATTTAATATTTATTATATCCAAAGTGATCCTAATTATCGGATTTCTATGAAATTTTCAGACAGTTAGTTATATCTACTCTCCAACATCAATTTTTGAACAGTGTTCCAGTCCAAAGTGAGAGGTCCTCTTGCTTTATCTCAACAAGATGTACCTGCAAAACTGTTTGATTCTATTAGTTACATTAACATTTTGCTGAAAGGTATTACATGAACTGTTTAAGACAAAAAAGAGAAAACTATTAAAGATTATGTAATGCAAGAGAGGTAAAAATACAAATTATTCAGAATCTGCTTTTTTACTCTATTGTTCTTTAACTTGAATCGTCCATAACTCTGAAGTTTTTTCTTGCCTTTGGTGCTTTCAGTTAGAGAAGTTTCACTGTATTTAAAAAATGTTTTTGTAAAATCCTCAGAACTATAAATGTAGAAATTAATGTAATTACATATAATTTGTTTTTAATCAAATTTTTTAAATTACAAGAAAAATATAAAATGTTTTTAATTAAATATTATTAATCTATGACATATTTTTAATTAGGTTATAATAAAAGTACATTAAATAAAATGGATGAAGAGTCTCAAAATGATGAATTGATAGTGTTAGAAAGTATTTTTGATGAGAGTGTGCTTAAAATTGAAAGAATTGGAGAACCATCAGGAAGTATTATTATTCATCCTGATATACCTGAGAAATATAATGTAAAGTATGAAGTAAAAAGTGAGTTTATTGAATATATTTTTATGTATTTATACTAATTGATCTTTTAAGATTTTTTTGTAGCTCTCAAGTTGAATGATTCAACCTTGTCTGTGAAAATATTGTCCAATGTCATATCTTCAAAAAGATATGATACGGAAAATTTTTTGCCATTTTATTTTATTTTCAAATATGGAAGATAAGATAAAATGATAAAAATATGTATCTAAAACCATTTGATGAATTCAAAAACCCAGCAATGAGTTGCTTAACTTTCCTGGCAATATTTAAAACTGCATGTGTGGAGCCAGCTGTTATGATATAATAATTAATATGATATGATTAAATACTTTTTACATTTTTAGTTATTATAAAATGGCAAAAAGCTTAATTACAACGGTTGGGATTGATTTTATAAAAAATTATAAATTTAATAATGAGTAAAATCATCATTAAGTCCAACCCTACTCAAAATATGACAAACAACTCCCCTTTATCTCCCCATCCCCTTGATCTTTAACCACCAAAATTTAATAGCATCAATCCCTGTAATACACAAACCTCCCTGCAAAATTTCAGAAATTTTTGACATAAAGCACAGGAATTAAGCTTCAAAGAAGGGTGTACAAAATTATGTTCTCCCTCCACACACACAAACACCCTTATATACAGAAAAATCTCTCAAATTTGTATTTCTTGATGTTTTAAGGTCCAGAGTCAAAAAATGTAAAACTCTTGGGAGTCAATTTTCACCAATTGCTGTACTTTTCCTCTATTATGTATAACAAAGCAGGGAAAGTAAAAATCAGATACAGAATATTTTATCATTCTAAAAGAGTAAATGGGGATATGTAAATAGAAGCTATTTTCATTTATGCTATTGATTATATTTTTAAAAAAAATTTTAAGTGTTATTTTATGTTAAGAATATATTTAAAATATCATATAGACCAGTGTTTTTCAACCTTCTTGAATACGCGACCCCTTTAAAAGTTAAAAAAATTCTGGCGATCCCCCACGACCATATTAAACTATGTCAGTGATTTTAAAAACTACGTATTTAATTTTCTTTTTGTGGAGATTTAAATATCAATCAAAACACTAATTATACTGTAAAATAAACAGGCACAGCCATCTTACTGAAATTGTAGTTTTTTTATTATAGCGTAAGACCTACAAACACTTATCTTTTTCTTTTCCCCGCGACCCCCCGTGTATGGCTTTGCGACCCCCTTGGGGGTTGCGACCCACAGGTTGAAAAACACTGATATAGACAAAGAGAAAAATGAACAACTAAGATTTCTCAAATACATGTAACTTCAGAACATGGGACTTGTGCATTATCATTACGAAAATTTTGATACCATTTAAGAAAAAGTTAATGGAGACAATCATCAACTTTTAAACATTGATTTTCACATGACTTGTTCTTACATATATAATATTTTTATATCCTAAAATTGCCTTTTTTTAATGTCAAATTCAGACTTTTGTAGATTTGAATGCAACAAATAAAAATTGAACTTTTATATAGTGGTCCTTTCTATCAGTTTTGGTGGTACAATTGAAGTGCTGAATGAGACGGTTGGGACCATATCAGATCATAGTTCTGATATGGTCCCAACCGTCTCATTTATCAAATTAAAAATTTATCAAATTAAAAAATATCATGTTATCAAAAAATTTTTAATATAAATTAACATTATATAAAATTATTAGTTCAGTACTGAATCCATTTTTATAATTTTGATAGCATCATTTTATTCTTTGTACAGTACTTTCTTTAAATATTGAGAGTACAGTATTCATGACATACAACTATCATCAGATGATGTGTAATGTTGTTGATATCATTATCAGTAACTTACTACAGACTGTGTGGCTCTGCAGACTGTTGTCAACAATAAGGGAATTACTCTGGATTAAATTTTATGCCAGGGCTTAATCTGTAATGATAGAAATTTTAGTAAAATTATAGTACATAATTACAGATATATTTCTAATGGAAAGTGTAAATGATCCATAAAATGGACAAAAATCTCAAGAAATGTGAACAATAATGAACATGAACAAAAACTTGCACAAATTGTCACCACCTGTAGAGTATATTTAAATTTTTGTAGGTTTAATAAATTGTAGTATTTCACTTAGAATGTTTTCTCTGAGAAGATTTGTTTTAATGTATTATTTCTTTTTAAGTTTTATAAAAAAAATAACTAAAGTCAGTGTTTGTATTGACAACAAACATTTAAATTAAGTTTATCAGTTTCAGGTGTTTGTTACACCATAATGTGAAGATCTGTCAGCAATCAGTGTAATCATGAATATCTAATTATATTGGTATAATACTGTGAGAACCGAGGGGGTTAGAGTGTCGAGCTTCTTCCCTCTTACCGGCTTCTTTGTCAGGGATGGCTTCGGTTAAGTGAGTGGGAGAGGTAGCGACAAGGTGTCGGTTGTACTCAAGGATGACACATTATTAAAGTTAGGAATAACATATTTAATTAACTATTAAACAAACTAATACAAATCAAATATATTTCGGAATTGCGACAGGGATATACTGTCATCGATATATCACATAACATCTAGCCTATACAAGGCATAATAGCTTCTAAGTTTAACTAAGTGAATCTATAACTGAGAGAGTGAGAGTTAAAGTCTCAAAAAGATTACCTTTTTAACCACAGCGATCCAGAATTTAGATGTGGGTATGTCGGAGTTTGGAGCAGGGACTTGAAGAGGTTCAGTCTGGAGTCTTTCCCTTGGTGATCGCCCCTAGGAGCGGGTGCAACCCCTTTTCATACATGTCCCGGAGCGGGAAAAAGTTTGGGGAACATTCTGATGCAATTTCACGTACGTTTGACTTGACGGGGAAGGTTTTGATTTCTGACAATTAATATAAACATTCATTAATATAAACATAGAATTATTACTTGTGCTATCCCGTCTTGCTACTCTTTCTAACTCATAAATTCAATAGCAGTTGTCAAACTGACAGAATAAATGGCTGGAGGTGACTAAGTTTAGGATATGTAGTGCAACCTTAGTAATAATTGTTAATTTGGTGGGTTATTTGATATTATTAAAATTGGTCGAAGTAATAAGTGAGGGGGTGGGTTTGGTTCGGACTCCACTTGCGGTGACTTTTCATGTTACTCTCTCTTGTATAATGATTTGAAGTTTTTATTAATTGGCACATTAGTCTGTAACTGGCAATGAAGGTACAAATGAATTATCCCCGGGAGAGGGGAGAAGTAGGTAGTTGTTCAAAATGACTTTGGAAGAAGGGAAGATCAATTATCGATGTGATGTTTAATGTTGAGGTTAAAGGTCCTTCTGGGAACTGGAGAACAAAGGGAAATAATGATAAAAGAAGAAAAAATTATAATGTTTTAAGTTTTTAAAACATTCAAAAGAGAGTTCAATTCCTCACAATACATATAAATATAATTTAAAAATTTTAAATATTAGAATATGTTGTTTATTAATAAAAATAAACAATATATATATACAGGAATGTAGCCAGAAATTTCCAAGTGTGCATCACTCAATGGCTGATGACTTGCAGACTTAGCATAGATATGTAGGCTATTGTAAAAATGCAAGCCCATGATCACTAATAACATTAATGTGCAAAGAATTGCCATATTGATATAGCAGCTTCTTGCATATCATATGCAAACCAGTGATACACATGACAATACTTAATAAAAAATAAAAAGCTTGAACAAGAAGGACAAGTATTAAATTTTATTCTATATCTCATGCCTGTTCATATAGCTTAGTATTGATACTTGAGTATGATGTTTCTATTTTTCTGTTTCATCCATTGATTAAATGCTTGTGACATTTAATTCTTATGGTGTTTGAAAATTAAACTGGAATAGAGATCAGCAGAGAGTAAGTGGCAGAAGTTCCTTAGTGTGGGGAAACATTGTCTCATGCCATTCTGTATAGATACATCCCTGTATGTATGAATTAATCCTTATGCTGTGTATATATATATATATACAGCGTAAGGATTAATTATATATATATTAAATATATAAATATATATATTAGACTGATCTTATCTATAACATTAAATATCAGTCCTTTCCAAGATATTTTCAAAATATTTGGTCTTTGTTACAAATGCTTAATATTGTGGATAAGGAAGGGATTTAGGCATTCCAAAATATTTTAGTTTTGGTGAATTAAAAAGACACGAACAAAAATATTTAGAATAACTGAATTTAAAACTTTTGGAAGTTTATTTTCCATTCATTTCTGTAAATAAATAAGTATAAATTAATACATTTTTTTCTAATAGATTTTGAATTTCCTGTGTATTTTTTTTACTTGTAAAGAGAGTCAATTTTTTTGTTTAATAATTAATTGGCTTTGAAGCCAATTAGAAAAAAGTTAGTTAATATTTAATTAAAGCCGAATGGTTGCCGAATTATATTGGGCTATATTATAGAATTTGACATGTAGTGCCAAATTACTTAGCATTTAATTAATAACACTAGTAGTAATGTAGCTCAATATAGTTCAGTAGTAATTTAGCTTTAATATATAACTATCAGGTTTGGATGTTTATATTTGTTAATATTTAAATCTGAATAAATTATTTATCGTTGATTAAATGATTTTAATAATTAAATATTTTTTGTTTAGATAATGAGAAAACTAATTCTTCAAAATATGTAGAGTTTGAAGTTAAGTATTTGCCCCCAATCACTTTATATTTTGTGCTGCCTAAAACATACCCTTCTCAAATAAATCCTGCATTTTTGCTTTCATGCCATTGGCTAACTCTTGATCAAGTAAGTTCTATTCTGTATTTTGTTTAAGAAAATTTATTGCTATTTTAAAAATTTTACAAGAACTTCTTGGTATTTTTAAATCCAGGAAGTTTGTTTATTAATTTTTATTTATTAATTAATATATTATCAAAATATGCAAAATTTATTGAATATTAAGATTTAATTTTTGTTATGCAAATATAAAGATTGTTTTTTAATCTGTTATTATTTTATACTTAATATTACGTACTTGAAATAAACAAAAGCTACTTAATCGAGGTTACTAAAATTATTTATTATGAAACATTTTCAGCTTCAGTTTGAGCAATCTGCAATGTATCTGTATATGGAAATCAAATTTAGAATAATTAATATTTACAAAATGTAACTTATAATTTTTTTATTTTGTAAATTTAAAAAATAACATTTATAAAATGAAATTAATATAATAATGATAAAATACTAGGACATTGCACAATTTTGTTGTATTGCAATAGAACTTTAGCGGAGCTGGGAAGAAAGAGACAATCCTTGCACTTGACGACACAAAGAGGTGATTCAAGAACAATGCAATTTTGTTAGGCATGCTCAATCACGTCAGGGAGCATGGACATTGCCACTTTGACCTCACTGTATTTCAAAAATGAAGTCATAGACCCATATTTTATATTACATTTTTGGATATCTCATTGCAATTAATAGAAAGTGGCAAAGTTTTATCAAAATCAATTGATTAAATTTCAAGAATGAATGCAATTCTGTAAACCATATAGAAGAGGCTTTACTAACACTTTGCCTCAAATATCACAACATAATATAATTAGTATTTTTAGGACACGAGTCTTAAAAATACAAATTATATCCTAATGAGTGATAAGAAATAAATAAAAATAAGTAAAACACTAAATATTGAATGTTTAGATTGTTTAATAAAATTTTTATTAATTTAGTTTGTTACATTAAAAAAAACAAATTGAATGAATCTAATAAGAAAGTCTAAGCACAATCTATAATGCAAGTAAAGTTCATTAATGACATCTAAGTGTTTCCTTAAAATGTGTATGTATATTTGTTTTAAAAGTCAAAGATGTAAAAACCTAATTTTTTAGATAATTCTAGAATTAACACTGGTTTATCTAAAAAAATCATGCCATTAGCATCCAAACCCACAGTGATTAAAAAAAATTGTAATGTTTGATATAAATACTTATTCATTCTTTTGTTTAAAGATCTAAAAAAATGTTTTGTAATAAATAACTTCAGTAATCTTAATCAAACAGTTTTTGTTGTTTGTTGAATGTTAAGCATTAACTTTAGAATATTTACATAGATTCTCAGTATTTATAAATCTGTTTAATCTCAAATGAAAACAATATAATTATATAATTTGAATAAAATAATATTCTGTGAATAATGTAATATCATAACTCTTGATTCTTGTTTTATTGTTGAACATGAACAAATAAAGTAATGAATGATTAATATTTCATTTAGTTAAAAAAAATTTCAATAATTTATAGAGAAATTTGCATAAGATTTTCTTTGATGTAGCTTTTCTGTTTAATTTTTTTAATATTTAAATAGTAATTAATTAATAAGAATATTTGATAAATAAGATTGAAATAAATTTGAATTTCTTTGTGATTTATAAGCAGTTTTCATTCTTATATTAATGTGTATAAAATATCTGTATTTAGATACAATATAAATATTAATGGTGTGAAAAATCCAATTTAAATAGTTTAAATTGTAATAAAAGATTTGCAAAAATACAATTACAAATAACTACTGTATTTCCTGTAAATAATCTGCAATTTATTTGTGTTTAAAAATCAATTTGAAAGCAGGTGTGAACTATTTGCCAGTTTTAAGCCTGGCACAAATTTTTCTATTTAATTTTTTTTATATTCAGATAAAATAATTATTTAAGTAGTAATTAATAAAAATATTTAACAAATAAGATTGAAATGTTTTAAGTGATATTAGACACTCCCACTTTAAAATTTTACCTTGAAAACTAATAAATTTATAGTAATTTCCTTTTATATTGTATATGATGACTTTCAGAGATTTATTTAGAAACTGACTATTGATTTTTGCATTATGTTAATTTTGTAGAGTAAATAAGAGTTAAACAATTAACTCTCCAAGATATATTATGCAACTTTCTTACTAAAATCAACAATTGTGGTGTCACTGGCAATTATTGGGCTGTTCGGAAAATAATTTCGTTTTTTTTCCATGGAAAAAAACAAAATATTTTTATAATAAATAAATATTTTGTTGAATTATTTATCGACCATTTTCGTCAAATATTTGTTGTCATCGTTTCTGGTAGTAGTTTCTGGAATTTCACATTCATAAAAGTTTTGATCGTTGCTTACAAAAAAACAGATCCAAGTGATTTCTGACATTGTCATTTCAAGTAAATGTCTTACAGTTAAAAAAAATTGTATAGACCAGAACAAGTAATAATCTGAGTGTGTTCGATCTGGCGAGTATGGTTGGTGCGATAGCACGTCCCATCTAAGTTATAACAGTTTCTAACGAGTTACCAAACTTGTGTGAAATTTGACATTATCATGGTAAAACACTACACCTGTTTTGTTGATCAATTCTGGCTGCCTTTTCTGTTTATGATATTACTCAATTTGTTTACTTGATGGCAGTACACTTTCAAATCAATTGTTAAATTGTCTGGTAAAAGCTCCAAAAAAAAATTTCCTTAAAATCCCACCAAAGAGAGCATCTCTCTTTAAGAACATGTGGAACCCATATATCAAGCTTTGAAACTAAACCAATTTGTTTCAAGTAATCATAAACAGTTCAATTTGACAAATTTAATCTCTTAGTGATTTCACGTGTTGTTATTTGGCAGTTTGCTTCAATCAGTACCTTTATTTTGTTTTCATTGGCTTCAATTGGCCATCCAGAATGTGGTGCATCTTCAATATTGAAATTGCCAGAACAAAATTTTGTAAACCAGTTTTGGCACTGTCGTTCTGTCAATACATCTTCCCCATACATGTCACACAAGTTTTTTCTCGCTTGAACAGCATTCTTAGCTTTTCGGTAATAAAAGAGCAAAATATGCCGAAAATGCTGCTTTCAATCTTCCATATTTGATGGGACACAAAAAATAAACAACTGCACAAAATCAAACAAAATTTTTTACAAATAATCCTTATCAATTAATTAAAATGCTAGCTGTCAAAATATATAATGATAATACAGTTTAGAATAAAAATGGCAGGAAAAATACGACTAATCTGTCTAGTGGTAAAAAAAACAAAATTACTTTCTGAACAATCTAATATTTTATTTATTGCTTATTTACTTTACATTTGGCATGGTAATCTTTCTTGCCTAGATCAACAACATTGGCTGTTTCCATTTCAAACTACTTTTAACTAGCATCAATGTACTTATATTTCTGTAAACATAATGATTTTTTTTAGTGTTCCTTTCAATTTGGGTCTTGATTGTATTTCAATTTATTTGCTTTCTTTTTTTAACTTTACAGTATAAGAAATTATTTTATATTAATTAGGTTAAATTTACAATTAAACTCTGTTTATACATTTCTCAGTTGTATGTTTTTTGCAATTATATGTTAAATATTTCCTGCACAATACTTTCTACAATTTTGCACTTAAACATCATATTTTTTGTAGCACCCTGTAGCACTTTTCTCATTTATGTGTTAGTCACTTTAAAATAAAAAAATTTAAAGGAATTATTAAAAAATGAAAACGCAAATTATTTTGTATTCACTTTGGCTTAGTCCACACTGACAGCAAATTGCCAGATGCAAAAAAGCAAAGCAAATAATACTTATAAACAAAATTATAATTATTCAAAACTAATTTTGTTAATAAAAACAGATATTTTTATTAACATTACTCAATTTGTTTGTTCTTCAGAAGCACAAGTTTGCAGGTGATAATTTTTGTAGAAGCATGTGAAACAATAAACATTTCTTCAGCTTGCACATTGAATAAATGCAAAAATTACAATAGCAAGAAGATTTATATATGTCACTGGAAAACAAACTTGGTTAACATTTAAAAACACTTCTCCAAATTAATTGATGCCAGAGAACCATGCATACTGTATTATATTTGAGAATATTGGAGTGTGTAATTGGTGATGTATTATAGAATGTAATTCTATTACATCTTCCTGAGTTGAAGTTTCTCAGCTCTATTAATTGCAAACAATTCTGTAGTTGCTTTATAAAGTTTTTAATTTATTGATAAAAATAAAAGTGATAATTATAGTTTTAGGGGAAAAACTCCATTGATACAATGAGTTTTAAAGTGCCAACCTGCTGAATACAAAACTGGCACATCCCACCGAGCCAGTGGCTGCTCTACAAATAATAGAAGTACTGATGATTTTAACTGATTATGCAATCTTCAACCTCAATTTTCTTGTTAAATTTTGAGTAGTATGATCAGACTTGATGCATTATATCTGCACCAAGTTTGATCAAAATTGGTGACACTAGTATGATTCAATGTCTTCATTAGTGTTTTAGTAGCAAGTTTTTTTTAATTTTATTCTTAAGTTTTCTTTGAATAATTTCATATAATTTTATTATCTAAAGAAACATCATCACTAAACTCGATATATTATAAAGATACACACCAAGAGCAGTTTCTAGCTTGATAATATTTGGCATTGGTTGATGTATAATTTTATTATCCTTAGACAATGAAAATATTGTTTTTGGTTTATAGATGATGTACAATTTGCAGAGTATGTATATTAAAAAGTTATTTAGAGTCTACTTTATTACAAATTAGTTGTGCAAAAGTAAATATTAATTTCTTTTGTTAATTACTTTTTGTATAGTATAGTAACCCCTTGATTTTTTGCTTGTTCAGATATATCACACTTATTTTATCTTCCAAATAAAAAAGCAGTTTCGACAGTAATTTTTTAGATATTGTTGCTATTGAATTTCTATTAGCAAAGAAATATTATCTTGAAACAATCATTGTATGAAATACAATCCACAAAAATTAAGTTTACATGGAGATTGAAAACAGGTGGACAAATATACCAGTTATGTTGCATTGTATGATATATTACTGTTTGGTTTAAAATAAGTAGTGAAATATTATCCCTTTTTCTAAGCTACTTGATAAAATTTAGTATCATTTTACATAATAAATCATCATTTTGAAGAAAATCAAAGATATTGTTAGTATGAGGTGTGATCAACTGAAACCTGTCTGGACCATTTACATATTAATATAAGCCAATACAATGAAATTACAAAGTAAACAAACAGAAACAGCGATGCTTAATGAATAAAAATGCAGTATTCTTTTAGGAGAAAAAGTTACCCTGGGCATTCAGATATGCATTGTACTATTTCACCAAGCATTGAATACTGTCCAAAAAGAAGTATCATTACTCCTTGAACCATTTGCAGTCTTGAGTTTATCATTGTGGAAGCATTGCCCTTCAGAAATTTAATGAGAGGCCCAAACAAATGGAAGTCACAAGGTGACAGATCAGGGCTGTAGGATGGGTGGTTAAGAACTCTCACTATTTCTTTGCTAATGCCTCCTGTGTGATCCAACATTTGGACATTTATTGTCATGAAGAATAATGATGTCAGACAACACACCAGAACACTTCTTCCTGATGGCTTGATGCAAATTGTCCAATGTCCAATGTCTGGGCATTCATTGTATTGCCAGGCTTTTTAAACTCCAGAAATAGCAGTTCTGGATGACATCAGCATCACCTTGAATTTCTTGGTTTTGGTGAACTGGTGTGAGATAGGTGGTCTGCTGGACCTCGTTCACCTATCTAGGATGGCTATGAATTGATTTAGAAAGATTGCTGAAATCTTTCTTTATTCTAGCATGTAGCTTGTAGCATGGATCATATTGTGGGTATTATTATTCCTTAAATAATACCATTATGCCCAATTATGAATTTTGGTAATATAATCATTAATACTCAACCCATGAAAGCTGTAGGTTCAAATTTCAATTTGCCAACTCATTTTACAGGGTGGGAAAGAAAGTTACTTTTTTATCATAAATATTGAAAATTAGTATATTCCAAAATGTACAATACAAGTTAAAATAAACTATAATATTAACTGTAACTGAATTCTGATTATAATATTGTCAGGTAAATAGGGCACAAAGATAACTTAAAAAATGCTTATCAGCCATAATATCTGATGATGTACAAACATTATCAGTTATCACTATCAGCTTTAATCAGTGTTTTAAACATTAAACATTTATTGTTTTAATGTTTATTTTCTCACAGCACAGTAATATGAGGCTCTTGACAGGTCTGATGAATCCTCACTAAAATTTGCATTAAAACATTTTTGAAAGGAAAAAAGTTAGAAATAATTATCTGTATAAAAAAGTGTGATATGAATATATAAACAATAGAAGAATGTAAGTGTTAAGATCAACTATCCCCAGTTGGGATTGAATTAAACATCAATTTTGACTTCCTGCAATCTAAGTTGAGATTGTTACACTTAGCAATGTAACAAGTGTACACCAATTAATTGGAATGGACAGAAAATAAAAACCTCAAATTTCAAGGATGCAATGACTTCTCAAAAATTCTCAAGTGTTGGAGCAATTGTTGTGTGTGTCTCATGTCTATCTTTGTCTCTGTTTCCCTTCTTCAGATCAACCTCTTTCCATTACCGGAAGCTGACCACATCTCCCTGGAATCATTGAGATGTTGGAAGAACTCTCATTCATGAACCAGAGATACTCTTTCATTTGGGACTATCTTGAAAAGGAGAGGAAGATCCAGAGATCATCACCGACTTTGAACTTCCAAGACTATGGAAATGTTGTAAGCTCCTTTCATGTCAAATAAATTGTTTCTTGTAACTGTATAGTCTTTCTCAGTGCCAATCACACCCCTATTGGCAACTTCACATTAGTTTAAGTTGCTGGCATTTCTTAGTTCAATTAAATATGTTATCTGTTATTAAAGACATTACTGCAAAACAACAGGCAAGATAACACCGGATGAATTACTATAAATCAATAATAATTAATACATTTTTAAACCATACATATTTTAACATGTCCTTTTAATCATTGATGGATTAAGACCTTCCAGAGCTCCTAAGCACAAAAGATTATGTCCTCTGTATAATTTTATGGTATCATAAACCAATGTATTTTTATTTTTTTTCCACAATTTCAGGACTCCTAAACATGTACAGTGCTTCATATGCAGTTTGGTACTTCTATTAATATCAGAGTTGATACAACTAGAATTCTATATTCTATGTATTCTGCACTATATAGTAAAAATTTCTGGGGCCATTACTGTAGTGGATTAGCAGATATATGTATGCATTGTAAATTACATGCCATTATCTAGTCACAACAAAACTTTAATTATGGCATCATTACAATTGTTTGAACATCACTTAAGTTAGTATTACATATATTGATAAAGATATATGGATAGTATTGTTAATTTATTAAAATTATTTTTCAAATATCTTATTTGTGTTTTAAGTTTGTTATAATTGATTTTTTTCTTATGTTTATTTTGTAATAATCTTAATTATTGTATATTCTTGCAGCCAAAAAATTAAAAATAAATTTTGAAAATGATGGAGCAGTTTGTTTATATGATATTTAATTTTTTTAAGGATTACAAAAATATATTTCTATTATGTAGATATCCTCACTTTGTAGAAAACTGGATAAATTATGGCATGAAGGTGAAAAGGAAGTTGTTTTATACAAATGGATACAGTTTCTCAAGGAAGAAACTTTGTCTTTTTTGAAAATAAGTGACGGTTTAGATATTTCTCATGTATCAGGTAATACATTACTTAATATTCTTAAATGAATACTATTAATACTTAATATCATTTTATTTTAAATATTAAAGGTATCATGAGCATTTTATAATGTCCAAAAACTATCTTTAATGGTTTTTTTTATAGATTGAGATTTAATCGTTTCCATTTAAAGAAAATGGAAACAATTAAATCTGGAATTAATGAGAGAGAAATAAGACATATGGCAGAGATCATTAACTGTGATTCATTGCATTGAATGTAAGACATGCCCTATTTTCAGAGATACTAAAATCTGAAAAAAGTGCATCTTACATTCAATTACATATGGTAATTCTTGATTTTAAATATATGCAATTAGAAGGTAACTAAAAAAATATATTTAGGAACTTCACAATTGTCATTTTTCACATTATTGGAATAGCAAAATCATTTACAAGGAGATGGCTAGACTTTCTCATCTCTGATTTGAATGAAACTTGGTGAGCATGTAACTCTAAACACAAATAGTTCCTTGTCCAAATAAAAATCACAATGTCTGTTTAGCAAAAACAAAGTTTCTGTAGTTTTAACTCTTTTATGTCATTAAATAAAATTGTAATTTTTTCATAGTTATTTTCAGATATGGTGTTGTTGTTTTATTTGAAGTGTAACAAACATGAGTGCATGAGGAAATTGTCCATAACATTAACAATTAAAAGGAAAATGCTGAAACTACTATGCTATCCTATTTTCATATCATACTTGTCTTTTTCATCCATGCACAGTAACATCCAGAGATTATTTCCTTTGATGTCATAGTATGTAACCATAAGTGAAAATATCTGTAAATAAATATGAAGAAATAAAAGTTTTATTTAATGACATAGTTAAATTTACAGAAACTTTGTTTTTACTAAACAGGAAATGATACCATAGTTTTTAATCTCTTTTTATAAGCTTTAAATGTAAGGAATAAGAATAGTAATAATAATGCTAATGATATGGTAAAATAATAAAATAATTATGTTATATATTAAAAAAAAAACTAAAGTTGCAAAGGATCAAACCCATATCATGTAGCTACAGAATCTAGAACCTTATCCACTCGGCTACTGTCATTCCTAGGATAAGTAGAACTTCTACACTTATAAACTAAACACTCAGTTTTCAGAGACACTTTTTTTTTTTCTATGTTGCAATATATAATAAAACAGTTTAAATGAAATGAAGTGATACTGACCAGAATTTTCTGTTTTGGCATGATTTTTCTTTTGTAGAAGGCTACATTTTTATTAATATAGGAAAAAATAGATGCTAAAAAATGTTGACTTAAAATTGCTTTTTGTCCAGCATAAGCATACTCCATCTTATCTACTTAACTTCTCTAACAAAAGATGTTTCACTATGATCTATCAATGATTACAGATAATCACTAATCTACAAGATGTGTGGATAGCCCACAAATCTTGTATAGGTTCACTGTTGAATTTCTGGCAACTCCTTTAATCCAGGCAAAATTACAAGAGGAAACTTGAAATTCCTGCAGTCGCCTTGGCCTTGTGTGTAGGGCAGATTTATTTACAGTACATTATTTGCACAGCACTTGTTGGTGGTGATCCCCAATTTTGTGATATTCTTAGTTTATTTTGCTTAAATTTAACCTAAGCTATGACTTTTAAGAGAGATGAGTATGTCAATGGTGATGTCTGACTTAATTTACATTTGATATTTATTTAAGCTTCTAGCAGTCCATGGTATACTTCAGACACATAGGTGTGTATAGTTATAGTTAACATGTAAGGTCTGTTGATGAATTATTATTAATATGAGACCACAGTTGGTCTGGCAAAATGGTTAATTTGCAAGGATTTGGAACCAAGGGTGTCGGAAATTTAATTGCTTGCCATTTCATCTCAAGTGTGCAGTTAATAAAGTTTCTTCAAGCTGCCATTGTTTAAAAAATGAAAAAAATGAAGTGTTAAAACATCTACAGAAAGAATACTCTGCTATTCACAAGCAAGAAACATAATCCTTTTATTGTTTTCTAATGTTTTTCTAACCATTTTTATCAATAAATTAGTCTGCCCAATCAGGATAAAATTCTGATGAATATAGATTTCAAACTGAAAATATTGTATAAATCTAGAAGTTTTTACATCAATAAAATAGAAAAGTTGACTTTTGCAATTGTGAAGGTAGGTAAAAATTACATTATAAAGGTGTGTTGGGACAACAAAATTATATTGAGAAAAAAAGATGTACAGTACCTTGATGTCAACTTGAGAAGTTAAAATTTAATGAATGCTGTAGATAAGTGGGTCATAACTTGTGCTTACATCAGTAAGCAATCATGTCTTAAATGGGTTCCACTATACAGACTTTGTGGAACACTTTAATAATACTGTATTTCATTCCAAAATTATGTCTACAGTTGTCTGCAAGCAAGTTGTTCTATTTATATTCCTAGTATTTTATAAATTAATAAACTCATTAAATTGATTAGTATTTGATATGACTAAATTTAATTTTTATATTAATGAATAGAATCATTTATTAAATAGATAATTTTTATTAAATGTCATTAAAATGATAACACAATTTTTTATAACTGTGAATGACAATGAATTAATTTTAATGATTTATATTTTTAGATGAACGGTTTGACCAAAATAGACTTAACAGAAAATCATGTAGAAAAGCAATTCAAAATGATTCAGATAAGAATTTACATTATCGAGAATGGAATGGCCATCATCAGAAAGCACAAAGAAATGTATACTTAAATCAAAATATGAAGTATAATAATTCAGTTCAAGATTCCTGTTATCGGTATAAGTGTGATGATCGTTATAGTTCGTATAAATTTAGAAATAGACACAAAGAAAATTTTCCGATGAATGTCTCTAATGGAATCACTCAAACTAATAGTTCAAAATATCAAGAAGTAAAAGAAAATAAATATAAGGACAACTACAGAAATTTTCAAAGTAAAACTGTTAAAAACCAAGCTATCAACTGTTTGTGTACGGAACAAAAAGATGAAGAGAAGTTTAATCCAACGACAAGCAAAATAACACACTTCAATCAAAATTCTAGACAGGAATATAGGAATCAAAATGTAAATGGGGAAACCCGCATTCACAGTCAAAATTATCAAAGAGTAGACATACAGACTGATGCTTTTGGCAGCAGGCAAGTAGCTCATAGAAACAATCAATCTCATTACACAGAAACGAATGGAAGCTATCAAAGAGGATCATCATCTTCAAACTACAGAGGAGGAAGGAAATTTCAGAATAATAGGACAAAATGGGTATGAGTTTTAGTTTAATTTAAATTACTGAAAATATATAATTTTGTGTGGATAACATGCATCATTGCATATCCTGTAAAAAATTGCTATAGAATGAAATATAACTTTCATGTAACCTGCACAATCATACAACCTACACCTCCAAAGGTTCCATTAAAAATATACTTAACAATATACACTAGCTCACAAAAGTATCCAAACACCTATAAAATGGAAGAGTTTTTTAGTTATAACTCATTTCTTACATGAAATAGGAAAAAGTAATGACAGATGTAAAATATTTAGACTCTTTTACACTAGAAAAAAGTATTTACCATGTACAAAAGCATTCATCAAAAAGAAATATCCTTATATTTAAAACTGTGACAATTTTCACATCACAACTATCTGGACAGAAGAAATAAGTAATGATAAAACAAAAAATTTTATACATTTAAGAACAAGTTGGGCCTGCGTTTGCTTTGATAACAATTAGGCATTGATTCATCCAAAGTTTATAACAGTTTTGTCTATTAAAATTCAAAACTCTGATGATATTATTGATTCTGTTCTGATTGTTCATTCATCTTATAAATGCTGAATTGGGTTGAGGTCAGGCGATTGTGGAGGACAAGGAAGCCCTTTTACACAGTGCACATCAAGAAACTGACAAATTTTCAAAGTGTGCTTTGGATGATTGTCATGTTGGAAAACAAACCCTTGATATCTTAATCTTATCCTGACTTTAACTTTCTTATTGATTTCTGAACATTATTTAAAATTTATTTATACATATATTGATTTGTTGTTCCATTATCAAATTGCAGAATTCCAGCACTGTTTGCAGACATAAAACTCCAAATGGCACTAAACCATCTCCACATTTCACTGTAGGGATCAGATTTTTCATTTTTAAAGATTCTCTAGCTTTTCTCTGTACTTTCAGGCAATCATTTGGATCATTGACCTCAAAACTGATTTCCAAAATGTTATTGATTTTGTATAAAAGTCTTTTACAAACTTTAACCTTTACTTCTGGTTTTTTCATAGCCATAAAATCTTTATAGCTTTCTTTAAAGTTTTTCTGACAGTTTCTGCAAATGTATGTACTCTACATTCTACAGAACCATCAACAGCAAGTTTAGGAGCAATTATTTGTGCATTTTTCTTCGCTTTCCTGACAATGACACATTTCTGTCTCGAGGTAAATATTTCAGGATGTCCAGCTTGAGCCTTATTAATTACACTATTTGTTGTAAGGAATTTCATAATGGTATCTTGAACTGTGGATTTTGGAATGTAAAACTGTTCTGCACGATTTCATGTAGATTTCCTCTTTTGTTATTCCTTAATAATAAGTTCTTTAATAACAATGATTAATTTGTTTGTTTTCATTGTTCACAATGACAAAATAAAACAACTCAAGTGTGAAACAAACACTAACACATTTGTTGTGGCAAATTGTTGTAAACATGTTTTTAAGCAAATTTGAATAGAATAGAACATTTAAAAAATAAATGGTTAAAATTTTCAGGTTTCATAAGCTAATAACTGTTTGAACCCTGATGCAAAAGGAGGGTTGGGCATTGGGTTAGCAACCCGTCCCTGTAAAAGTTATGGGTGCTATGGAAACAGCAAGAATAAGCAGAACTTCTGCTCCAAGTAATATGATGGCGTTGGAGGAAACTGACAACGATGTCGGAAATGATCTTTTCTGCCAGAAATATTATGAAAATTGGAATGTGTGTACTTTATATCAGAGTGGAAGACTCACTTAGCTATTACAGACATTTGATGAAAACTGGTTGGATATCCTTGACATCAGTGAGACGACAAATGGCCAAATCAGTAGTGCTGGCAAGACCATTCTGTTTGTGGGCCATGAAGAGCAGCACAAATGTGGAGTAGGTCTTATCCTGAGTAATGAAAGCACTACTTGGATGGAGACCCTTCAGTGATCAGATTATTACAGCTTACTTTATCCATGGACATGCCAAAGTGACTGTGGTGCAGGTTTTTGCACCAACCAATGATGCAGAGGACACAATAAAAGATGAATTTTATGAACTACTCCAAGACGTCTTTGATGGTATCCTGAATCATGACCTGAGGGTCCTGATCAGGGACTTCAATGCCCAATTGGGCAGTGTAGTCAAGGACTCAAGGCTGTGATTAGTGCTCATGCATCCTCTGCTTATATGTGACAATGGAGAAAGGCTAACATCATTTTGTGAAAACAACTGGCTATGTGTTGGGAACACCTACTTCCAACATCGGCTTATCCATAAGAAGACCTGGCAGTCACCAGACAAGTGCACTTTTAATTGGATAGACTTTATTTGTATTAGTAAAAAGTGGAAGTCATCATTGCGCAATATGAGGGTTTACAGAAGTGCAGATATTGGATTTGACCATTACCTAATTAGGGTGGATATTAAACTCAAACTTTGTAATCAAAGGCAGTTCATGCTAAAAAGGCCGTTTGTGGGAGAAAAATTAAATGATTCAATCATCACCAAAGTATTTACTCTGAGTTGCACAGTCGCTTTGCCCTTCTTGGAGAGATGACAGATATAAATGATCTCTGGGAGAACTTCAGAGACATTACCATGGAGTGCACCCAAAACATCATTGGAAGACGTCTAAGAAGATGAAAGGAACAGTGATCCAAGATCGCTTGTGGAAGTTGATTGATGAGAAGAAAGATGCAAAACTTAAAAGGGACCAGGCTAAAACAATGGCTGAGATGGAGGAACTAAACTAAAGATATACAGAGTTGGATAGACATTCAAAGAAAAGCTGTCAGAAAGACAAGAAGGAATGGTTAGAACGAAAAGGCACTGAAGTGCAGGAGGCTTCTGACCAGAATGACTCCAAGACCATGTACTGCATAGTCAATGAACTGACTGGGACGAGGAGTAACTCCAGCATTCCAATAAAAGACAAAAACGGAAGCTTCTGATCGTTCAAGATGAACAGAACAAGAGGTTGATGGAACATTTTCGGGAAACATTTTAGTCGAGCAGAACTGGCCATAAAATATGATTTCAATATTGAAAATGCACAGGATGAGCTTCAGGTGGACACTGGTGATATTACCCTTGAGGAAGTGGAGCTTGTGATTAAGAGTCTAAAGAATAGTAGGGCAGCCGGTTTGGACAAACTTACAACTGAGATTTTGAAGCATGGAGGGCAGCTCATGTTGGAAAAGCTAATGTTATTGTTTAACAGGTGCTGGCAATGTGGGGAGGTCCTAGAGGATTGGAGAAGAGGCACTATAGTCAGAATTCCTAAGAAAGGAGGTATCTCCGAGTGTACCAACTAGGGATGGTATCAAACGCCTTTCTGTGCCTGGAAAGGCATTTTGTGTGGTCCTCCTTCGACGCCTGCAGATTGCCCTCAATCAGTGCTTGTGGGAGGAGCAAGCTGGGTTTTGCTGCAGAAGATTGTGCAGCAAGCAGATCTTCTCCCTTTGAAATATCATCAAACAATACTGAGTATTGACACCCACTGGCCATCAATTTCATTGATTTCAAGAAGGCTTTTGACAGTGTTCACTGCGAGTCCCTCTGGCAGATCTTGCAATTATATGGTGTACCAACAAACTTTGTCATCATTTTCAAGGCCTTATACCTGCATTCAAGTTGTTGTGTCAAGACTGAAAGTGGTCATACAGACTTTTTTGAAATTATGACAGGAGTTAGGCAGGGTTGTGTCCTGTCCCCTTTCCTCTTCCTCATCACGCTTGATTATGTCATGCGGCGGGCAGACGAGTCCAGTGCACACATTGGGGCTGCCATACACAGATTTGACCAGGACTGTCTTGGAGATTTGGTTTCTGCTGATGATATCGCCCTATTAGAGGAAAGCAAGACAATGCTACATCATGCCACGGTCACATTGGGTCGGGAGGCACACAAAATTCGCCTCAGGATAAATGCTGCAAAGTCTAAAATTATGCATGTATGTAGCACTTCCCAAATGTGGGGAGTAATTGTCGGAGGTGGAGAAATTTACCTGCTTGGGTAGTGTTATTTCCCAAAATGGTAACATGGTAAATGGATGTGAAGTGCCGCATTGGGAAAGCGGCGACAGTCTTCTGGCGGATGAACAAAATCTGGTCCTCACCACACATCTCATTGAGAATCAAATTCCATGTGCTCATCTCTATCATGATTCCGATAGCTGTTTATGCTAGTGAGTCCTGAAAGACATCGGGGAAACAGCAAAAGAAGGCTTGATGTCTTCCAACAGAGATGTCTATGATGAATCCTGAAGATTCTATATTTAGATCATATCACCAATGAAGAGGTTCTCCGAAGGAGTGGGATGTGCAAACTTCATAACATTGTTGCCTGTAGAAGAGTCAGACTGGCTGGCCACATTTTTTGTATGGAGAACAGTGGGATCCCTAAGACAGCCATGAAATGGGTTCCCCCTGGTGCCAAATGACCACAAGGATGCCCCAGGAATACTTGGTGTAAAACTTTTCTTCAAGATTTGAAGATGCTCAATATGACTTGGGAGGAAGCTGAAGCCCTTGCTCATGATTGAAATCGATGGAAGATAATTTCTGCCTGGTATGCTATCTAGCATTGGTAGTACTACTACTTGCTTCTATAGCAGGTTATTGTAAATATAATCATAAAATAAGTGAAGGAAAAATAAAAATGAATATTTGAGATAAATTAAGTGTTAAAAATACAAATAGTCACCAACTCCCAAAATTTTTTATAATGAATTCATTTTTTATTGTTGAATATACCACATATAATAATATTATTTAGTGTTTACAGATAGTCATTGTTAGAAGTTATAAATTAAAAAGTTCAGTGGTACTTTGTACTTCAATTTTAATTCATTCCAGGAGGTTGTTTGAAGTCTGAATCAATTTTTCCCATAAAAAATAATGGAAATCAAATTAATCCATTCCCAGACTCCAAACAATACCTATTTCCAATACCTGTTTCTATAAACTTAAAACAGCAAATTCACGTAATTTGAGATAAAACTAAATGCCCAAATGATGATTTAAAACACAAAAATTATAAATAAAATACATAAATACTGTATAATTAAATGAAAATTACAGGTATACCTCGACTTACGTCGTTTCGAGTTACGTCGTTCCCGATTATACGTCGTTTGTCAAAAAAGTATATGGAAAAATAAAAATCAAGTTTAAGTCATTTTATTCGACTTTATGTCCGTCCGCCACAAATATTGAAGTCGTAATATCACTAGAAAAGCGTTTAAAGCACATAAAATCATANTATTTAAATCTGAATAAATTATTTATCGTTGATTAAATGATTTTAATAATTAAATATTTTTTGTTTAGATAATGAGAAAACTAATTCTTCAAAATATGTAGAGTTTGAAGTTAAGTATTTGCCCCCAATCACTTTATATTTTGTGCTGCCTAAAACATACCCTTCTCAAATAAATCCTGCATTTTTGCTTTCATGCCATTGGCTAACTCTTGATCAAGTAAGTTCTATTCTGTATTTTGTTTAAGAAAATTTATTGCTATTTTAAAAATTTTACAAGAACTTCTTGGTATTTTTAAATCCAGGAAGTTTGTTTATTAATTTTTATTTATTAATTAATATATTATCAAAATATGCAAAATTTATTGAATATTAAGATTTAATTTTTGTTATGCAAATATAAAGATTGTTTTTTAATCTGTTATTATTTTATACTTAATATTACGTACTTGAAATAAACAAAAGCTACTTAATCGAGGTTACTAAAATTATTTATTATGAAACATTTTCAGCTTCAGTTTGAGCAATCTGCAATGTATCTGTATATGGAAATCAAATTTAGAATAATTAATATTTACAAAATGTAACTTATAATTTTTTTATTTTGTAAATTTAAAAAATAACATTTATAAAATGAAATTAATATAATAATGATAAAATACTAGGACATTGCACAATTTTGTTGTATTGCAATAGAACTTTAGCGGAGCTGGGAAGAAAGAGACAATCCTTGCACTTGACGACACAAAGAGGTGATTCAAGAACAATGCAATTTTGTTAGGCATGCTCAATCACGTCAGGGAGCATGGACATTGCCACTTTGACCTCACTGTATTTCAAAAATGAAGTCATAGACCCATATTTTATATTACATTTTTGGATATCTCATTGCAATTAATAGAAAGTGGCAAAGTTTTATCAAAATCAATTGATTAAATTTCAAGAATGAATGCAATTCTGTAAACCATATAGAAGAGGCTTTACTAACACTTTGCCTCAAATATCACAACATAATATAATTAGTATTTTTAGGACACGAGTCTTAAAAATACAAATTATATCCTAATGAGTGATAAGAAATAAATAAAAATAAGTAAAACACTAAATATTGAATGTTTAGATTGTTTAATAAAATTTTTATTAATTTAGTTTGTTACATTAAAAAAAACAAATTGAATGAATCTAATAAGAAAGTCTAAGCACAATCTATAATGCAAGTAAAGTTCATTAATGACATCTAAGTGTTTCCTTAAAATGTGTATGTATATTTGTTTTAAAAGTCAAAGATGTAAAAACCTAATTTTTTAGATAATTCTAGAATTAACACTGGTTTATCTAAAAAAATCATGCCATTAGCATCCAAACCCACAGTGATTAAAAAAAATTGTAATGTTTGATATAAATACTTATTCATTCTTTTGTTTAAAGATCTAAAAAAATGTTTTGTAATAAATAACTTCAGTAATCTTAATCAAACAGTTTTTGTTGTTTGTTGAATGTTAAGCATTAACTTTAGAATATTTACATAGATTCTCAGTNATGAAAATTACAGGTATACCTCGACTTACGTCGTTTTTCGACTTAAGTCGTTTTCCTGGAACCAATTACTGACGTAAGGCGAGGTATACCTGTACATTTATTGATCACATACTGTGGACTTCGGCTTCTTAACATAGATACGAGACTTTATTTTTTGTTTAGAAGCTTGCTTTAAACTTTTTACTTTACATTTTGTTTGAATAACATCAAGTTGTAATGTCTTCAGATAAAAAGCGTATCCAGCATATTATGCTTTATGAGTTTTTAAAAGGATTTAATGCCACACACAGTAAAAAGAAAATTTTGTAATATGTATGAGGAAAATGTTCCAAAACTTCAAACATGTCAAATGTGGTTTAAAAAGTTCTGTTTGGGAATTTTAAACTAAAGGATACAAAACATATGGAATGCCCAAAAGTTATCGACAAAGAAAGATTGCAACAATTAACATGTTAAAAATTCTTGTTGATTTTCAATTTATCGATTTTTATATATATAACAATTTGGTTATATATTACCAATAATTATATAGATAACAATTTGGTTATATATTATATAACCAAATATACCAAAAAATAAAGCGAAAAAAGCACTGAAAACATACAAGTATAATGTGAGGGCAAGAGATGACTAACAGATTGCATTTATGCTTTGAGCAGATTTTTTCACTTCACACACAGTTTTAACTCCAATGTGAGTTTTTGTCAAATTTTACATTTGAAGTACAAAGTTTCACTGTGTATTTGTTAATATTGATTATTGTTATAGTTATATTAGCTTTATTTGTTATTTATACCTTTATGTTTATTATATATACTATATTTTTATGTATATATTAAAATAACAATTAAAATTTAACATAACTTTATTTATTCATTACTCTATATTAGGGGTCCCCAAAATGGCCGATATCGACCCCTTGGGGTCGATAAGAGTTCTCCAGGGGTTGATTAATACACGATGGTCGAAAAGGGGTCGATTAATACCAAAGAGGATCAATTAAACTGTCTAGGAAAAAAATAGAATATTCCAATAAAAATTCGAAATATGGATATGATCAACATTACTGACTGCCCTAGTTATAACTTGAGTTTTGCCTTAGCCTATGCTGCTTTAAGCATATGTTACACTATTTCCACACATCTGGCAACTGTACTAGTGTTGCAAACATGTTATGAATGCGGGTAGTTCATTATGCACAAACATACGCTGCACTGTTACACTCTAGTAGAGTTGTAACTTCAAGTATTTTAAATAAAAATGTAGATATTTTGTCCTTTACAGAGAAAATATTGTAATATATCGAAAATCATTAATATAATGCAGAAGTGCTTGCAAGGAAAAAACGTTACAATTATTCAAGCTCGAACAATCATAATGGTCTTTCAAGTAAAAATGGAGCTATTTAAATCTTCACTGGCACGATCCAATTTTAAATATTTTTCAAACTTGCGACTACTAAAAGAAAATAAAAAAATTTTTGACTGTGATTTGGAGATATATATTAAACATCTTGATAAATTAAGGGAAGACTTTAAAGCACGTTTCGAAGACTTGGAGAATATGCATGTTCCCGATTGATTTGCTAATCCATTTGATGTAAAAATAGATAATGAAAGTAGTGAACCTAGCTTAGAAGATGAACTGATTGAAATATGTGTAGATCTCGAAGCTAAAGCGTTGTTTAAAAATAAAAACCTCAGTGAATATTGGAACAATAACAATATTCCCACTAAATATCCCAAGCTCAGAGCAGAAGCCGAACCTTTCTTACTTGTGTTCCCAACTTCATACATGGTTAAAGCTGATTTTAACCACGCAAATGCAATTTTGACAAAACAGAGGAACAGATTGAGTTTGGAAAACCGTGGTGATTTGCGAATAAAACTTACCAATTTTTAACCGGATATCAATAATCTTGCTACTTCTCTTCAGACACATCCATCCTACTAATATCAACTATTTTAATAAAAAGGTATGTTAACATATTTTTAAGGTATTCAGTAGTAGTTGCAAAATGACAGTAAGAGGTTTTTTTTCATCTAATATAACTAATGTTATGTTTTCAAAGATAATTGTGTTTTTTACATATTATGACATGTACGGTTTAAGAACTATAGGCAAATTTCCATCTAGCCATAATTTTGCTATTATTTTTTAAGATTATAAATCAGTGGAAAATATTTCCTTTTTTTGTTAATGTTATTGGGTGGATAAGATATGGGATCTATAAATTCTTTTGTTGGGTTGTTATGCAGGTCTCCTTATCGTTTAACATCAAAAATGCAAAAATGATTTAATGTTTTTGTTAAATACTTAATCTGGGGTTGATAAGAAGGCAAATATTCTATAAAGGGGTTGACGGGATAAAAAGTTTGGGGACCCCCTACTCTATATCAACGGTATTCAAACATTTTAACAGTGCAACCCCAAGGTAATTTTCCGCAACCCTATTTGGGGTTGTGACCCATAGATGGAATACCACTGCTCTATATCAATGAAGAAGTATTATAAAGTATATTTTTGGAGTTACATATATATATATATATATTTCATACATTCAGGACATAAAGCTAAACAGTCGGATATTGACGCCAAGAATACATGGTGGAAAGTGTGATTTCGATTTAAGAGCAGTCAGTGAAATGGAAAATAAAACAACATTAATAACATACTTAACGGGTAAGTTGAAATATAAATAAATAAGTTAAAAAAATTATTAATTTTATTATTCATTTATAGCTTTTCTTAAATATACATATAGAATAAAATTTTTATGTAATAACAATAACAAAAATATTTTCTTTTAAAAGAATATAATAAAGAAAAAGAAGAAGAAATGTATAGTAATGAATGGTTTATGTGTGGAGTATGTCTCTTAGAAAAGCAAGGAAAAGACTTTATGAATTTCTTGGGTTGTAATCATAAGTATTGTAAATCGTGTATGAAGTCATATTTTGAAATTCAAATTCAAGAAGGAAATGTGAACTCACTTTCATGCCCTAAAGAAAAATGTATTTCTCAAGCTACACAACATCAGGTAAAATATTGATTTATAAATCAATTATATATTAAACTAGCTGCAAGTACCCACTTTGCTGGGTTTTTATTTATTTGTACAGTACATTTATGTGTAATATAGTTTTTTTTAATATATAAAAGACTGTTTCTCTTCCTCTACATAATCTTTCTCTGATTTGATGTGTTTCCCTATGATTTTCAAGTTGCTCTTTTGTCTGATTATTTCTGTTTTGTTAATAATTTTCTCGTAGCAATGTTAGATGTACTGTACTTCTCTTTCTTTCTGCCATTTTTTGCCTTTGAGATATGATTCAAGATCGCAAAAATTCTTTCTTACACTTTGGCATTGTTTTGTATATTTTTACTTTTCACTTTCTACTTTTTTCTGTTATTCGTACACTTTTACTTATGAAAAATCAACTGAAACATGTGCGTCACACATCTCCAAAAGCCATCCCTACTACTTACACATAATGGTTCTTGACTATTCCAAAACATTTTTGACTATTCGAAAACATTTAAGATTAAGATTACATTATAGCCAATCTTACCCGTTTTCACAGAATGCAAGAATTAGGTTTCTAGACTAATTAGAAAATTTTTACATGGTCTAAAAATATGTTCAATTTCTCGCAAAAACTCAAAACACAGCTTCTGCGCCTGTAAATCTTGCATGCCGCTTTCTCTTAACATTTCCTTTGTTACTGAACACTTCCATTGTTACACATTTTCAAAATCGACCACTTTAAGCCCCCATATCTCCCACACCCTTATAGCTATCAAGACACAACCACCATAGTGCACGATGGGAGACTTGGGGCTACTAACACACACAAACACCATTCATGTGCGATATGTAGTTTTGACTGAAAAGTGAAATATAGGGACACACACGTCCATTTTTATATATACTAGCTGCAAGGACCCACTTCGCTGGGTTTTTATTTGTGGGCAAAAAGTAACGATAGTGAAGATTAAGATAATTACATTATAGCCAATCTTACCTGTTTTCACAGAATGCAAGAATTAGGTCCCCGTTTCCAGACTAATTAGAGACCTGGTCCTGATTCTATTTCTGGACGTCTCCTGTTCACGTCAANTTTTATTTGTGGGCAAAAAGTAACGATAGTGAAGATTAAGATAATTACATTATAGCCAATCTTACCTGTTTTCACAGAATGCAAGAATTAGGTCCCCGTTTCCAGACTAATTAGAGACCTGGTCCTGATTCTATTTCTGGACGTCTCCTGTTCACGTCAAGTCAAACAAACTATTTTCAATGTTTCTGGAACGTTTACAATCGTTCTATAATCAAATTTTATGTTCGAATTTAATTCGAATATTGTTTGAATTTGTTCGAACAAATTCGAACAAAACATTCGAAATAGAAAGCCACTTTCAGCCTTATATCTCCCGCACCCTTATAGCTATCGAGACGCAACCCCCTGGTGCATGAATGGAGACTTGGGGCTACCACCACATACAAACACCATTCACGTGCGATGTGTAGTTTTGGTGGAAAAGTGAAATATAGGGACATACATGTCCATTTATATATATATATATATACAGTAGACCATCATTTATCCGAAAGTCAATTATCTGAAACATCAATTATCTGAAAGAATTCCAGTCAGCAGATTTAAATTTTTGCCAGTGCTGGGGTGCTGCAATCTTTGGCTATGTCTCGGGCTACTCAAATATTTAACGTTTTTGATACTAAATTAACTTCTGAAGTATAATTTTTTATTGTTTTTATATTTTTCAATATATTTATTTTGTTTGTACAAAATAAAAAAATAATTTTTAA